AGATGGCTCAGGGGAAGTGCCAGGTCACAGGGTTGTCTTAGGCAGAGATGGGATGATTAGAATCATCAATTGTAGTTGAACAACAATCGCCTGAGGCTAAGAACTCATCCTTTAAAACTCTGTATTTCTGCTTATTATTAGGATAATGGCATTTTTAGACAATAGTCTCCATACTCCTCATTTGCTGGCAAATTAATTACACTCCTCTTTCCTTCTCCTTAAACCACTTTTCCTCCTTCCTCTGATGTGGCCTCAGGGAGAAGTGCCGAGCTTCGGGTAACACTATTTTGTGAGTTTATTGGCCATTTACGTTTCTTTTGTGAATTGGCTTTTCATACTTCTTGCCCATTCTTCCATTGCAATATTAATTTTTCTTTTTGGTGCGTAAGAATTATTATTCACAGTCTTAGAGATATTAACCTTTTATGATATGTGTTGAACGAATTTCCCCTCATTAGCTGTTATTTATTTTTGGCATCTTTGGGAAATATAACTTTGAATATTACTTTTGATAAAATCTACCAGTTTTTTAAATCTCTGCTTTTGACATCTGGCTTAGAGACGCTAATCTCACTGGCCATGTACATGCAATTTATCAATGTTAAATTCTAGTGCTTTTCATTTTTCAGTTTTGTTACACCAAAATCTCTCTTTGTAGAAATTCAGCAGTATTTGTTTCCATATGGTGAATCAATTCCAAAAAGACCAATTATTGAATAATCAATTACTTCCTCACTGATCTGAATGTACAACTCTATCATATGATAAAACATTACCTATATGTGGATCTCTTTTTGGATTTTCCATTGTGTTCTATTAAGCTTTACATTCTAGTGCCAGTATTGCCCTCTTTTCATTACTATAGTTATAGTTTCATTACTGGAGTTAATTTCTTTTGTTGCTTTGTTAAAAATTTTCTTTGCAGTCTAGTATGATGGCAATTCTCTCCTTTCTCATTTTTAAACTATAAGACTTCTCTCCCGGCAAGGATATTCCAGGCTCCCTGGTCCTTGAGCTTGGGTTCTGCATGAAGACCGGGAGGGCTCAGATTTCACAGCCATTCCTGTGGCAGCCTTGTGTCCTTGCACATGTGGTCCCCAAGGCAGAAGGGAGACCACCAGAGGCTGCTACCCTTCTCATTTGCAGCTGTTTGTCAAGCAGAAGATGAATTACCTGAGAGAGGATGAAACAAACACAAAGAGGGATATTGTTCTACCTCTTATTGTGAGCATTTTAACACATGTCCAAATATATTTATTAAAGCAGTGTTTGTGGGGGGGAATCTGTGTAGGTATTACCATAATTTTACCATCAATACATTGTACTATTTCACCTGCTATTCATCCATCTATTAATCCAAGTACCTTACAGATGTCAGTATAGTTTCTGAGGGTACAGTTACCAAATAAAATATAGGATGCCCACGTAAATTGGTATTTCTGATAAATACCATATAACTTATCAATTTATGTAGGTATGAAATATTGCATGGCATGACATCATGTACTTTTCATTTATTCATTTATTTGTACTACATCTCGCAATTCTACTTGAGTTCATCTTTTTAGTTGAGGATGATCAGAAATTTTCTACTAAATAGGTTTTCACCTCTCTCTCTCTCTCTCTCTCTCTCTCTATCTCACACATATACACATCCATTTACCTTTCAGTAGAGTCATATACAGACCATCATACCTGTTCCTAATTTTTTTTAATCAAGGAAGCTCGAGCTTTCTCAGAGTTGGTGGTCATGGTTTCCTGAAAGTGTACTTACGGATGTACAAAGGAAGGTGATTCAGGTCAATAACAAAGAAGCGTCAGCACAAGACAAGCCCATGGCATCAGTTGTAACACATGGAAACTCTGGAGTGCAGGAGAGTGAAGCTGATTCAAGACTGCTCACTCCACAGGGCCCAGGCACCCTGCATCCAGGGTCAGCTTCCTGCCAGACCTGCCCTCCACCTGCTGCAATCCTGAGCTCCCCATGCTCCTCCCTTCTCTCCTGGAGAACGCCTGCTATCAGCTGCCACAGGAGGGCGCTGGAGAAGTGGCTTGAAGCAGAGAGGCAGGGCCTCCTCTGCGGGTCTGCCCAGGCACCCACCCCTTCTGGCTGAATAGCTTGGACTAAGACAGATCCTCAGTCACTTCTCTTTGCCTCTGGTTTGGTCAAGAAGACCAGCTCCCACCTATGGCCTTCTGTCCCAAGAATCACTTCCTTTTTGAGTAGGATTTGAGCTTTCAGGGGGTATTCTGCTCCTCTTATTATTTGGTGACTTTTCTTATAAGGTCCAAGAGGGGAAGGCATGGAGTGGGCTCTAGCCCTACTTCTAGCTTTCCTGCTTTCTGGTAAGTATGTTGCATTGATCAGTGCTCATAGGAGTTTCTTTTTTTTGCACCTTACTAAGGAATTCTTTAGGAATTCTTAAAGGTGTCATACTAAGGAATTCTTTATTATTTTTTGTTCTTATTGTCATTGCAGCCCATCAGATATCTTGCAACTCAGAAGGGAGAATAAAGTCAATCTTCAGGAAAACTGGATCAACTGTTGATATCTCTTGTGATATTAAACAAAGTGCCAGGTACATCCACTGGTACTTCTTCCCAGAGGAGATGG